CTGCCATCACCCTATGCGTCTGTTTTCTCTTGCTCTTGTAAGAGTATGCCACTCACAAGGCAAATGTTTTCTTGAATCTACTTGTCTCTGATACTTTACAAACATTCTACCAACTACTTTATTCCTTAAAAGAAGTATGAGAGAAGACAGCAATCAGGATATTTAAGAGCAACTAATTGTTGATGCCCCAGTGCGAGGCATCTGTCAGCTATCACTGCAGCATCATTTATTAAGATGTGCAAATCAAGCTCAAGGACTCCAGAGCACAGCCCTAGGGCACATGAAAGAAGAGCACCACCATGTGCATGAAGATCAATTACAGTTAATTGTGCAAATATTAATTTTGGTTGGGGGCCGGATTCACTCTGTTGGTAAAACCAATGCTACTTTTTTCCTTTACTGGATTCCAGGTCAAGGGTATAAAAAAGCCTCTTTCAACTGCGTTACATGTGCAAGATATATACATATTTAAGAGCCTCCATTAGGCTTGCTGCCAAACCAAAGTTAAATCTGAGTGTAACAGTTAAAGGTATAATTTTAAGTGTGAAGTCATGGCACCCACAGCTGTAAACATCTCTCAACACTATACCATTCTTCAGTGTGATTCATTGGAAAAACAAGCAAATTGCTATGGCTTCACTTACGTTAAAGGTACAGCTGGTTTTCTACAGTAAGTTTACAATTTCACCTCATTGTCACGTGCAGATAAGGTCTGCTAAGTCTGAGTAATTTATGGAGACATGGATCATATCAGAAAAAAACTTAAAGCAAGTCTGAAGTGGAAAAAGAGAGTAATTCGAGATGTCCCACTAAAATTTCCTACACAGACTTGGTTAGGGCTCAGACAGGCATTTCAAAGTTGTAACTGGAGAATAATTCCACTGTTTATCAGACACAGGGCTCATAACATTTTCACACTATTAGATACCAAATGTGTGTATTTTATATATATATATATTTTACACGTCCATCTAAAAACCCAATTCCCTCTTCTACACTTTCCAGCTGCTTTCCTAAAACTCTCCCCCAAAACCAAACACAAAGGTCCCAACTAAACTGCTAAGGGAAAACACTCCTCTGAGCTCACTTTAAGCAGAAACTGAAGTACGCAGCCAGTGAGGCATCAGGAGAGACAGTCTGGTTAAAACATCATCTGAGCTACCCTTTCAGTTCACCCCACTGTTTGCCAACAGAACAGAGAATTACATGTTTCACAGGGTTTAAGAATTACAGTAACTGGAAGATTTCCAGAGTTCACATTCAGCTTGGAGCACTCCCCGCAGGAAAGGGAGCACAACCTCCAGTCCCTGCACGGAAGCGTAAGAATACCTCACTCATGCAAAGGAGCATTATTTCCAACCAACACAGAAGAGCATCCCCATAAAGCATCCTCATCTCCAGACCTCCCCACCACACTAAACATGATACTTGGAAGCAAAATTTGCAATCAGTGGTTAATGAAGGAAAAATCGCATCTTCACATAAGTTGTACTGGACACGCATATTTGTTTGAGTATTAAGTAGCCATAACCAAAATAAATATCCAACCCCATGTTTAAGGTCTTTGACATTGCTGCAACAGAAAATACAGGCTTTTTTATTTCATACTTTCCATTTGTAGGCTGAATGAGAGCCTGGATACATAATTTTCACCTCTTACCTACACACGCTATTTTTCTTTTTTTGAGGTTCGCTGTTTTATTGAGGAGGGTTGGTTGGTTGATTTGGGTTTTGCTCTAAAACAGACAAAAAAAGACCTGGAACCTCCCCTTCTTTCTATCTCAAAGAAAGAAAAGATGTCATGAAAAACAGGGCATGCTTTTACTGCCAAATACATGTCACCACCGGCCAAGGAATCCTCTCCAGAAGCAGATTTTGAAACTGTATCACAAGTAAACATGACTGCACGCAGGTTTTGAAAATGTGAACAAAACACCCTTACTGAGTGATGGCTCAGTAATGGATCCCCACGGAAGACAAGTCAGTAGGTACCAGTTCAATGAGTTAAACTGAACAAGAACAGATGGAAAACCACATTTGTTATCAAAACACAGAGCCGGCTAGTAGTGAATGCTTTACTCGGTTTTGGATTTTAGTTGTGCCACGTTTATCTCAACTGAGCTGTTTCAGGTCAGCTAACCTGTCCCACAACACTGGTGTCCCACGACAGAGCAGCCCCAGCAAACTGCTGAGCCAAGGCATGGCCCTGGTTTTACTGGCTAAAACAATTATTACTTTCAGCCCTTCTTGACAGTTAAATCTAAAGGACTCCAGCTTAAAACCAACACTTGACGATGTTGGTTTGAAAATCAAAAGCTGAAGGCAAGAGAGGCTAACAGGTCAGCCCTGCACTCTAAATTTTACCCACCTTAAGCGAGCTCAGCCCTGACTTCGGCAACATTAATAAAGCTCTGCCAACAAAACCTCCTTTTTCAAACATTTCCCATTACAATTAGCTTGGGTTTTGCTAGTAAAACTCGGTTTATTCATGGGCAGAAAGAAGAGGTGGAAAAATTACCCCAGCAAACCAGCAAGCTGGCCTGGCAAAGCATCGTTTTTGTGAAGTGAGCTTTCATTCAGGCCAGCAGTTGCACAACTACCTGGTGCGACGCAAAGACGAAAGGAGCCAACATGTGGCCAGGGACAAGGCGGGAATAAAACCCTCTGACAAGCAGCTTACGCTTAGGTCTGATTAAGCACATCGTAATACACACACCTGTAATCCCAGCTTTAGTGGAGCTGATGTAAATTAAACAAAACTAACCTTCCCGTTCCCTCTAACTAACCTTTTATGCAGAAGTTAGCACCGGTTTAATTTAGTTTCAAAGACAGACCACGGGTACTGTAGTTGCTGCAATCTATAACGTTTTACAACATTTTGTGCTATTTCAGTCCTTCCAGGTTGGTTTTCACTCGTAAACTCCACGGCTGCAGCATGCAGTAGTATCTATCTCTTGAAAACTGTAATAAACGTATCTGTCCCCACATGCCCTCTGAGCACCCCGACACTTTTATAACCCCCAGCTCTCCAGATGTCTTTGCTACAGCTGCGTGGTCCTACCCGCAGTGTAGTGTCGTGAGACATGGACCGTCCACTAATGAGACTGTGAAGTTTTTAACTTCCCAGCATCATTAACGTGCATGGGTGCTTGGTGAGGGACAAGAAGTAGCCACACTGCACTGGAAAAGGCCATACTATCAGTATGTTAAAAAACATGTTTCGTGAAAATGAGAATAAGAGATAAGACTCATTTTCTGAAGTAAGTAAAGCAATTGTCTGTAACTGCCTGCATAGTTTTATCAATTCAGAGACAACTTCAGTGTACTGCAGAGGACAGATCCAAGTTTTGCTGTAGCACCACTTAAATTGTCAAACAAAAATATGAAAATAATGCTTTTGTGGAAGAATTAAGATCAGCAAATATCAGAACAAGTTGTAACTATATAACTATGAAATTATATGTGTGTGACGTGAGAAAGCAAGAAGGTTGCAGCTTAGCTGCAAGAACAAACTGACCACATAGGAAGATTTTCCTCATCGGGAACTATTTCCACCTTCCACAAATCATCAAGACAGGGACTGGAAGGCAGGAGCAGGTCAAACCAAGATCTGTTACGCACAATCCTTTCTCACCAGAGCCACAAGCATATTTCTTTATGCAAATTTTCAGATTCCAACAGACCAGTGAACTCTGCAAAGGTCAGTGCAATGTTCAGCCTATCCCAAAACTTTGCTGAAACAGCTCTTCTATGTAAATTACTACTTTCAACCGTATGAGTTATCCAAAAATAGCCCTTTTTACATCAGAAAAAAAGGCAAATCCAGGGAGCGGTTACTGTAATTTAAGTCTACAGAGTACCACTGTGCATGCTGTCTGCATTTTGTGCTAGACAGCCTCATGGTGATCCGAAGGGCACTGTGCTTTCAGGGAGGGCCCTGCGGAACGTCAGTGGTTGTCCCTGGGGCAGGAAAGTTTTCTGCAGTTTTGACAGCTGAGACCTTTTTACAGGTATCAATTTAGATCCAGTCATACACACAACCCAGAGTTCTCAATCACCTGGTAGTACAGTTCTGCGTAGTGGTAGGTTTCATTTTATGGCATTTATTCTAGTTACAGGAAGAAGATAAACACTTCCCCAAAGTCTTCACCTTCATCACCAATCTATGTTTTGATCTCTGTAAGCCTTTTTCTGCTTAACAGAAAAGCTTATGACTCTAGTCACCTAAACCAGGAGGATGCTCTACTGTCAGTTAACAACAAAATACTTTTACTGCCCGAAGAACGAGTACAAGTCTCTTCTGCACAAGGATCCCCCAAGTCAGTAAACACTGCGAGATGTCCACAACCTAACGGCTACTGCTGCCAGCCGCAGCACGCTCGCAACAGACTCGATGTGGGCTCAGCGCGGGGATGTTGCTCCAGAGGAGCAGGAAGACTGGTTCCGAGCAGGGTTAGAAGCCACCGCAGTGAAAATGCTGACAAGCCATTTACATCATGACTCAACACTGTTAACACAGCTACCACAGCACAAGTTACTACTTTCAGTCGACAGCATCTCAGAGGACCCTAAGCCGTAAATAAAAGCTTTCCAAGCTGATAAAACGTGGGAGTTTTCATTATTTGGAATTAAATATTTGTCCCAGTCTTCACTGCCGCTCCTTCTGCAGCAGGAAGACAGTGGCGAGCAATTAAGGGATTCATACTGACTTTGCAAACTACTGCTGAACAATTAATCTACAACCTTTGAAAATAATACGTGCTGTAAAAGCGTCTTAGACAAAAAACCCACCTGTTTTCAGTAAAAGGGAAAAAAACCCACCCCACCACCAAGCCCCCAAACCCCACCTCCTCTCCCACATATTCCCAAAGCACCAAAATAAGCTCATCTAATTGGTCATGCTGGACCAGCCTTACTCCTGAATACTTTAAAACTGCCATTCGGACCTTAAGTTTTCTAAATTCAGAAAAGTGGGGGGCAGGAAGGCTTCGGCTCCACACCTGTTCAGCTCAAGAACCACAAAAAGCCTCTGGGTCTGCAGCAGGCTGAAAGCTCTACAGCAGTAGCAGATCACTTTGGCAGGCGCACACACGCTGAAGTCAAACACCCAAGATGAATCAATCTCTTTTCCGAACATAAAAATGTGATCAAAAGGCATACTGATATAAGCAGAAGGCATCATCTTTATTCTGGGTAATAAAAGAAAAAAGAAAAAAAGCTAGTGGGGAAAAAACGAGCTTCAAGTGGGTCACAGAACTACCAGCAGTTGAACCCAGAAAATTTAAGGTATGTGTAATTTCTTCACTGAAACAAAAGCACTGATTGAAAATAACATCCCTTCTACCTTCCAGTATAAGTGAAAAGCAAGGAGTTTAAAAAATAAAAAAGCCCCCAAACCCAAACCTTACACATAGGTAGAATGAGAAGTTTCAAGTGAAATCTCACACCAGGTTTTCTGTAATATTGTAATGATAACATTTCATGGTTCCAGTACTTCATTTATAGAGGGATAATACACGGCTGTTCCCAAAATCAGCAGTATAATTCTAACAAAATCAAACAGCAACATGTTTTGCTCTGTAATAAGCAAATGCAAGGCACCTTCTTTGCAAAGAAGAAACTCCATTAAATGGAAACAAAAAGTTCAAGCATCATTAGGATCTACGTTACCAGTCCGTCAACCAGCAGCTTTTTGCTGCCGAATGGATGCCACCCCGAGAGGATGCACAAAGCTGTATTTGAACACACCATCCCCATGATCAGCTCAGTTACAACTGAGGCAGCGTAGGGGGGAAATTAAGCTTAAAACTGGGATTTTGCTCCTGTTCCGATTCAAGTCACTGACTCCCTGTTAAGTTAAAATCAGCACATCCACAAGCACACAACACAGTTTCTTGATCCAAAGGATGGCTATTTTACTCGGTACAGAAATAAAACAGATACAAGTGAATCGGAGAGCTACACGTATTTATTACAGGAAGAAAATTGCTGAGCATGATAGCTACAAAGAAACAGAGACGATCAATGTGGCGTGTTTCTAAGGTACCTGTGCCAAAGGCTCCGTGACTCCGGGTAGCGTGAAGCTAGGGAACAGAACTTCAGCTTAAATTGTTAGTATGGCACTAAAGGCATAGAAACAGACTCTAATGCAATTAACTTGTTAAAACTGAGTATGATTTAATGCAGAAGTCAATGAAGGTTTTACATTATGATTTTCCCATACTACTGATTTTGGATAGATGTTTCTGGAGTCACATCTGTCCTGAGGTGTTCTCTCCATTTCTCTTCTTTTTAATCCTATTCTGTAAGAGCAAACAACAAACACAGCACAGGAAGGACAGGACTATCAAGGGAAAAGGCAGGCACTGGTATTTAAGTGTGATTAGCTTTAGTGTGAGCAGAATTATCAGCCTGCCACTGGAACAAGTACAGAAAAGAGTTTCCAAGCTGATTAAAAGATAGGAACTGAGTTTATTTTGCCTAGAAAAATACACAGTAAGGGGAGAAGCAGGCACACAGGCAAAAGGAAACACCAAATGGGGGAATTATAAGATTAAAATGACCTAAAATCGTGTTACTAGCAATAGGCAAATTCACACTCTTCCCCAACACCAAACGGTAAACTGATCCAGTTGAACAATTTTTCCCCCCTCAAATCCAAGTTCATTTTCAGATTAACTTCTCCACAGTCACATGAACACTAGTGACAACACAAGAAATGGCAGTTCTTCCACCTTCACGCATTGTGCTTTTGGGGGAGGGGGGAAGAAACTAACCCAAACACCACAAACGGCCCTCTTCCAAAGGCATGATCCAGGATGTACTTTCCAGTCCTGAGAAACAAGAAAAAGAAGGAGAACATGTCCTACTGCTCTTTTGTACTCACTTATTCTAAACAGTCGAGGTTTAATGAAATTATAATGTTCAGACATATTATTAGAGGCATCTCACATGCCGAGCTTCCGAACGCTGCCAGGCTTACGGACACATGGAAGTACCCGAGTTAGTTATCATAAATATACAGCTGACACTCGGTAGCCAAAGGAGCCAAGATGATACCTTCTGTTCACATCTCCCTCGTAGTGTAACATTCATTTGCTTTCATTAAGTCAAGTTGCACTCGTTTAATGGGTGTTGTATGCCAGACAAACTGGAACACAGCAGGGCAGCTGTACACTTCTAAAAAAAATGGTTTTACTTAGGTATTCATTAAATGTTACAGCAGAGTCAGATTAAATCTTCAACAACAGAACTCTAACCCAGACAGAAGTCTAATCCAGCACTGCCAGGAGCAGCCACATCAGATTTTTCAAGTGTTATTAAAAATCATGACATTTCCAACCACATGGGTAGAAAGGAAAACTCGTAAATACAAGCCAGGTTACCTTCTATTTTTCCCATCTTTAACAGAACTGCTTTGAAAAGCACAAACTGACACTTCCGTGTGACTCCTGAAGCCCACTGGAAAAACAGTCCCTATTTTTTACGTTAACTTAAAATAATTTCCCTAAGGCTTAGGGATTTAATAGCTCAATACTTTCAGGAAAAACACAGAACCACTGAGCTTGATAGAGATGTCCGTGTACCAGCAGGCTCAGGATGACTTCATATATGCCTGGCACCTAGGAGCTACTATAAAACAAACCCTGGGTGGTTTTGAAGACACGCTGCTGATGCTATAGTAGACGACTCAGCTTTCCAGGAAATTTTACATGCTGGAAGCCTCAATGCTGATCCTTCAGCATCTATTTCGATTCACGTTTTCACGTGAGTGAGTGACCAGATTTCAGCATTTCACATAAACAATAGTCTTTTCAACGCAGCAACAGTCTCCTGCGATCATAATGCATACAAGTAAAAGCAAACAGCACTTGTGGGGAGGAGCGATCTCTTATCAGACCAGCTCACAGACAACTGGAGAGACAGAAGCTTTTCAATACATAAACATCAGCGGGTTTGAAATCCTCAAAAGGTACATAAACCACCTACATCTCAGTTTAAAAAATTGCCTCTCACCGTAAATATATTTACCATCGTATCAACAATATTAGAGAATTGGTATAGTAACAAACTGAAATTTGAAAATCTTGACTTTTCCTGCTTGAGACAAAAAAAAATATTGTTTCCCTGATAAGGAGAAAAGTACCCCTCAGCTCCCAATGCACTTAGTAAGCAATACTGCTGAAATTTGGAATTTTGAAACCCTAGCGTATTTGAATAAGCCTCTCGTTCCAGCCATTCAAGTTTCCAGCTAGGCAGCCAGGATACTTTTTTAAAGCAGTGTTCTGTATAATCAAGGGGTAAGACAGCTCATGTAGAACAGAAGTCTAGCTCTCTACAAAGTTCTCCAGTGAAACACATTCCATTCATTTAACTTTCAGGATTTTCCTGAGGCTTTTCCCCATACACATACGACGTACATGGGAATGCCTTGAAACCATTACATGCAACCTAAGTTTCCTACCCCAAATCCCGTATTGTGCCTGTGGCATTTCTGTATTTTCTGAATCCAGAAAACTGTTCAGCAGTTGTTCTCTATCTCAACCCAAAATCTGCTTTTTTTCAGCCGGAATGCAGCCATCCAGTCTTTGAAACATTACACATGTATTTCTTATGTTGCCCATGACCATTCCTTCCTTTCCAATTGGGTCCTCTGCTCGGTTTCATCCCTCTGCTGCATTCCCACGCCTCAAAGCCACCTACAAAAATACTACAGCGGTAAATCCTCCCAATATCCTGCCGTAATCCTCAGAGCAACAGACCAGTCTGAAAATACCAGAGTCCCCTGGGAAGCCAGCGATTACATGCTGTTGTACTGTGCTTGTATTTCTGCTGCTGCTTCTTGCTCAGGTACAAAATGCTTTCCTGGAAAAGGTTTTGTAATGAACATCCGGGTGTTTAGCCTTCCTAAATATAACCCAGTTCACCCTTGGAATGCTCTTTTAATCCCAGGGCACCCTACAGGCAAAAGCACTCACATCAGACCCAGAGGATGAAAAACCCGACCCCAGCAAAAGTTAACTTAGAAAAACGCAGCAGCCAGATGAAAAGCTGACCAAACATATTAGCATTGTTTGTTAAAGTGTTATACATAAGTCATTTCTAGATTTAGACATAATTCACGTTCAGTTCATCACTTTGTTTTGATTCCTGTAACTAAAAACCAGATGCTCTTTTGAGTCCATAATAATACTAAAATGCTATTGCACTTTCACAGCATTATTCAGATTTGAACGTACAAAGTAATGAACAAAGAAAAACCGGTAATTTAAAAATATCACTTAATAATCCTTAATATTTTATTTGAAGACTACTTTTGTGTACGTAAAGCACAGTGGGGATGTAGCTAACAAATTTTAGGCTGCTTTTAAAGCATTGTTTCATTGCTGCTTGGTGTTCAGGGGACTTTTAGGTTAAGATTTTATGCATAAGCAACTGCATCTTGTATTTTTGAAACACAAAAAGAGAAGGTTATCTTAATCAATGTGTAAGTGATTAACTTTCATCAGCCATGCATAAAGCTGCAAATCAAATACTACAATCAGAGACAGAAAAGCAAATTTAATACGCTTTCTTCACAGACGTCAGTTCCCAAGGTTTACAGAAACAAAGACACAGAACGCAGAAGGAGAAACGTGCTGCTGCCTCTGGACGTTCAAAACGTAATTTTAGTGTTTGAAGTTTATAAGTAGCACCTAGCTTGAACAAACTCATGCTCTGTGTGTTAAACTGTTAGGGGAAAAAAATAAAAATCAGGATCAGGTCTGCTCAAATTCATCCCAAAATAGGAAAAAATAACCCCACAACACTCAGGGAAGTGTAATTTCAGTCGACATTCACGCACTAATACCTACTATATAGTCCTTTAACTGTCACTTTTGCCTAGCTGCTAGTGTCTGAGAACATCAAACGCTTCTGGTTGAGAAACAGGCAGGAGCTTTGGAATTTGTCTCTAGTAAATATTATTCTTGCCCTGACTCCAACAGTGAAGATCCAAGTGACCGTTTGAGACTTACATCTGAGATCCCGGATTGCCCAGACCAGGTTTTTGTCAAGCCCAGCAGATGAAGGCAAGACGGATGCTGTCCCAGGGATGGACCAAAGCATGGCTAGAGGAGCTTCACCAAGTGCAGGCACAACCTCAGCTGAAAGCCCACGGCACTGCACGTGGGAAGAAGCACACACACGCAAGAGCCTTCCCTTTAGGCTTCTCGGGACACCAGCAGAGGCTGATGGCCAGGCGTGAACTGCTCTAACACTGCACAGGAAGCAAAGTGCAGGATTAATCAGTTTAAAATCAAAACAGGACAAAGTTTAAGATCCTTTTCCTGCATGTTTCACTTCCTATATTTTAATTTTAAGAGAGTTCTAAATCAAGCTATCCAACATGCAAGAAAAAGCAAATAATGATGTGAAAAGCACAAAGTTGGGCAACATCTTGATGTGAAAGTGACAAAAAAGTGACAGATGCGATTTCTGGATGAAAAACTGAAGAGAACTCTTCTTTATTCAGACTTAACACTGGTTTGTTCAAATGTTTTCCTCTCATCTCTCCAGAAATTACCCTAACAGTACAACCAACTCTTGGAAAGCACATTTTCAACCCCAAAGTGGTCCTAAAAATACTAAACACATACAGACCCACGCTCAAGGCACACGTCTTATGGCAAGGGCTCACATGTATTTGTGATGCTGCCGGAGACACTTACGAGATCGCATCTGTGCAAGTCAGAGCGAAGGTTTCAGCCAGCCATCAGGACTCGCTGACACCACAGGCACATGTCTTATGGCAAGGGCTCACACGTATTTGTGATGCTGCCGGAGACACGAGATCGCATCTGTGCAAGTCAGAGCGAAGGTTTCAGCCAGCCATCAGGACTCGCTGACACCTCAGCAGACAACGGGAACACTCACCTTTTTGCAACTGTCTCGCTCTCCCCAGATTTGCCGGCGACGTTCAGATGATGTTGCAGCAAATGGAGACAGAGGTTATTGGAGCCCACCTACCCAGGGCATCTGAAGCACTTCATTTACAAGACCACGCTCCCTACGGAGTCATGTCATAGACCAGTCATCCTCTAGTCTCTCCATTCAGTTCAGGTATTTATGCAGTCCAAAATTTGGAGTTTAAAATTAAGATCATGCGAATAATCACCCCATAATTTCTGAAGCAGAGAAGAATAAAAATTCAACAATCTACATAATTTTTTTTTAATACCTGGTATTTTCTTTCTCTGACGAATGCCTTAATGTGAAGGTAAGAAACACATGGATTGACACCAGTACGATTTTGAAAACTGGACACACAACACATCGACAATCCAAAATAGTTTTCACCCACTGCAGCTCATGCTGAAGCCAGCCTTCATTCTCTTCCAACAACTCTCACCTACTAGGTTCACCTAAGCGACTCCATGGCAAATCACAGGCACTACTAAATATTAGGAACTCTGTGGAAGGCAAATGCTGGATTTGATCAAGAATGTGATGACAAAGAGTTTGCTCTAGGCTTCTTTCATGTTTCATAAAGCCAATTTGCTTATCAATTCCTTTTAGGGCGAGAACAGCATAGATTCCAGAGATGTAATCATCTACATGAAATCTTGTTTCACAAAACAAAGTGTGAGCCACAACCTCCACTGCCCTGGGAATGACAGAGGATAAATATCTAACCACACAGGTCCTTGATAAAGGAAAAGAGGATTTTTTTAAAGACAACAGACTAGAAAAGCACTTTCTATTTTAACATTAGGCATCTTTTCTCCCACAGTAGGCGTGCCATGGGCACACTACCCAGCTACAGACACAGTGCAGTATGAACTACCACAGTGGAGACATCTTTCACTCTAATGTCACCAGCAAAGTTGATGATTTCAACCTTTTGGTACTAAACAAGAATTACTAATAACTTTTACTGAAGACAGGAAAGAGTATACAAATTACCCACCACAATTGTCTCGGACACAATGGAATGCAATTCCTATTACTTGTAACAGGAGGAAAAGAGGCAGAAGTAGCATATATGGCCTGTGACACAGTCACAACACAACAGAGAACTATCGTTGGCTTTGGAGTCTCCAGTATTAGATGGGGACAACAAAGACACTACCATCTGTTTTCTTCAGTGCTGATACTTCCCACATGTTTAACACATACCGTAACTAGGTCTCCTAATTTCTCTTTGAACTCTGACCAACACTAAAATAGCCTTCTGGATTTATTAGCTACTTCCCAGACTCTGGAATGGCTTCCCATCCACCTCACAATTACAAAGATGGTTCCTTTTGCAGTCCGAGACTCCTGTGAGAAACTGCTGAGCATGAAACTGCCAGCCATCCGTATTCAGGGAACTCATGGCCTTCCCAGTTTCAGGTCCGAAGTACTAAACAGAAGGGTCACTCTGGAGATGTTTCTCCCCGGTGGAACCGTCTGGGGCACAACATGTCACGTGAGCACATCCCTCCATACGCGCCAGACAAAACAAGGCTCTTTGAAATACGTGGCTTTTTCCTTTTACCTTCCGTAGACAGATAACCATGCATCAGAAGGTGATGTGTTTTCATTTGCGAACTGTGAGCTACCTTAGCAGTAACTGGTCTCTAAATTGATAAGACAGAGAAATTGTGAGTATAAATAAGTAGGCTTTATTCTTTCCCTGCCCATCTTTCTGTGCAACTGTAACAGTGTCTTAATTAGCGGCATGAATTATTTGCCATGGGAATAGGAAAATAATCAAAGCAGAGAATGATGATTTCCCTGAAAGTTCAAACAGAAGGCATTGCCTAGACATAGGCCACCCGAGACATTATTAGCAAAAGACAAACAAAAATATCAGCATCTCTACCATGTGAGGCCCAAGTGAAAAATTCTTTTGCAAAGCACACTACAGCTATATGAGTAGTACGATCCTCCTCATGGTGAGCTATGAGAAATGTAAGTGAACTGAGCCTGGAAATGCCCTAGCACACCGTAACGTTACCTAACAAAGTTCAGGCAATTGTCACAGGCAAGCTGTAGTGAAACAGCTCTAGCATTTCATTACAGAAATCAGACGCCATGGCAATAGGACATTTGACAGAAATTATTTGCTTGCAATAAGTTAAACAGTTATGGATTCCTAAAACAAATAAACAAACAAACATTCCAAGTGAATGCCCCGAAGTATATAAGCTCTTCTTAAAGTTTGTGTATACATGTTATTTCATTTAAAACAAACTTAAGTACAGTGCTTCCAATCATTCTTTGTCCGGAACAGTTTGCAACAGTCGAGTTACACTACAAGGCACAGCTCAAGTTTCTGGCATCTCACAACAGAGGATGTTCTAGAACACAGACATATTTCTCTTTATAATTAGCAAAGAAACCAAACAATCAGGAATGTTGGAATAAACAAATAAACCAGAAAGAGCATCACAGAACTGCCCAGAGCTAACTGTCCATACAGACAAGCTTCATGACTAGTTACAGGACATTTCTGTTCACAGAGTCCTGTAACAGTTAATACTCTATTTTTCTTGCTAGTAGTAATTATCTGCAACTCCTTGCCTTTTTTAAGAGACAAGCACTTTACACTAAGGAGTCCAATAAGCAACACATAAGAAATATTTTCAATGCCAGCATACACAGTGCAAAGGTGCAATTTAAACAAAATGCCAGACTAATGGCTACACCCCAAATCGAACAGAAGACCCAGATTCAGGAGCACCTACCAGCTCGTAATTCTCATTTTGACTACAGAGATGGAATATGTCTTAGTGTGAAAATGACACTTGGTAAGGAACACAACAGCTCGCTAATAAGCAAAGCAGGTAACTGATTACCTTACCATTAAAGGTAAGGTTTAATTACCATTAAATCTCTGCTCCAATCACAGACTCCAGTTCTCTCTCATGGTCATGGAACCAACAGGGTGGATCTTCAACCAAGAGGGTCACGTACAGGGTTTCTCAGCCACTCTCCAGTTTCTCTTTGAGAGTTTTTGTACCCCTCCGCTGGGGAAAGCATAGCTTTTGTAGCTGCTATGAGGCACAGCAAGACCCTACGAGGAGTTAGGAACCACACAGCTAATCACATGCCAGTGGAAATACAACATGGCCCTTGAACCTTGCCCAGCACACCTTCCATTCGTGGGATCCTTCCTCCTGGGGAGAGAAGGACCCAAGACAGGTTCGTCACTCCGCTCGCTGGAAATTCAACAGCAAGTTCTAGCACATTTATGCCATAACAGAGAGATCTGAAAGAATTACTTTTGTGATGAAAATAGCAAATGATATTACAAGAGTTGTGCAGGATTTTTATTGGCATTTGGCCTTACGTTCCCCATTCGCCTCAACATCGTGTATACCCAAGACACTTCTACTTACAAAACATCTACTGCTCAAAGCACCCTTTGTTTCTAAAATAAGAGCACCATGAATTTCTATTAGTTGGGCATTTTGCAGAGTCACTGTCCTCAGGTGTCCACAACCTTAAGAAAATCTACACACTGGCTTGATTTTACAGTGTTGAATAGCTTACTTGGAAAAATATGGTACATCCCTCCCCTGATAAGGCACCATACCTTTTCAGACTCATGAATTCATATAATTCCTTCAACTGTTTTTACACTATTACCTTTGTTCCTCTCCCTTGCACAAATTGCCAGCAAAAGAATTAATAGGCCAGAGAAATGGAGGATAAGTTGGATCTTTGCAGATGACTGGGGGCATTATTCAGTGTCCGGAGGGGTCAGGAGATTCTGTTATCTCACTCCAACAAACAGGTCTAAATTTTGAAAGACTATGGCACTGCAGCCTTTCCAAATTAGTCTTATAGATCCTATTAATAAATTGCCATGGAGTTCTGGAAGCTTGTTCATCCAAAGCTATCCATCTCCCATGCAGTACCAAAATTTAAGATATTCAACAGGTATTCCTAGTAGCACAGAAAAACTCCATTACAAAAAATCTAAAGCAGCTAAAACAGTAAATTCAAGGCTTCTATTAGTAACAAGGGATAACAAATTTTCACACTTTACCATAATGAAAGTAAACTGTATTAGTGTTTTCCAGAACTGAAGTAGTAAGTTATTTAAACAAGGTTCCAGACAATTGAGTCTTTAACATCAGAAAACACAGCCTGTCTTCCAGTAATGCAATTCAGCCTCGTCTCAGACACTGTCAGTCATCCAAGTCCAGAAATGGCACTCCTCCAAACAAGGTGGTTCAAGATACACACTCTATATGACTACTCGCTCAACCCCACCTCCCTCCTCTTGCTCCTCTTCCAGCCGCGTTACGCGAGTACCAGACATCCGCTGAAGATCCAGGGCCGAGCTCATCTGATGTGCAACCGAGCCAGGGCGCATCACCCCAGCCATATTTATCAACATTCAATCCCACGCAGAACACGACGGTTGTCATGGTGCCAGCAAGCGGTTAAAAAAGGGCAATGACAAAAGAAAACAGATTAATTATGCGTCAGAAGGAGCGGGCTCTCAGGACAGGCAGGGAAATTTCTGTACATCTGTTAGCCTGCAACGCTCTGCCGGAGCAAAGCCAGCGCGAAGGGCAGAGCCCACGCCAACACGGCTGCGCCGAGACTGTCCTTCAGCCCCTTCAGGCCAGCGCAGCTTACGGGTGGCCGTCGTGGTCAGACGCTTGCCAAGGTGCCTTAACTGTGTGAACTGAGGTGAGTGCTCAGTTTGCTGCCCCAAGAGCTAACGGGGCAGCCCCTGGCTGAGAGGCACAGGTAACCCAGCTCTGGAGACAGGACAAGCGGTCTTGCCTCCAAGGATGGAAGAGCTGACTTCACCTTGTAAATCTTATCGTAAAGCACCATACAGTGAGTAGGTAATCATTTTGGCAGCTTTGCTTGAGCAAGAAACAACACACTGAGCAAAAAATACCTGAATATTTAAGACAATAAATCTTAACAAATCTGTCATCTGACTTCTTAGGGGACACAAGGACAGTTAACGACCAAAACAAGAAAGTTCAGACTGGAGTAAGGGAAGTATCTCCACCTGAAGCAACACAGAGAACAACACACAGAAAAGCATAGCACGATTTCTAACACACACAGAAAGGAACACTACTGCTCAATGCTGTATTTGATCTCATCCAGGAGCCAAAACCAGACGGTGAGGTTGGCACTCTTCTGTGAGCTTTACTCCAGACACTTGAGCTTTACTCTAGACACTCTATACTGGAGAGCCCACCTTGAGTGACCGAACTCGCTCTCAAAAGTGTTACCTAAAAACACTCTATGCATGTACCTGCTTAACTTACTTGGCTTATGACCAGCTCCATCCTTTATCGTTGGGCTCTCACTCTAGCCCTGCTCCTCATCTTGCACGGGCATCCAGAAGGTGTACACAAAGCTTTACTCCAGGAGAGCAAACTGCCCCAGGCCACTACAAAGTCTGTGAAAGTTCTGGACTTTGTAGCCATCAGCACGCCTAGATCCATCAGTACAGATATTCTACTGCTAACCGTGTCATAACCATCTGCAGTATAGCACTCACTGGAGCCAAGGCCCAATAAAGGAGGTGTTTATCCACATTCATAAGGTCTCTTTCTGTAAGCGATAGAGCTGATCAGGCACAGCTCTTGCTAACAAGTGCTACAGAGGAGCTAACCATGTCCATATGCAGGCACTACTGGGAAGAATTAATTACATTAAATCCTAGAGCAGGTCCTAAGAACATACCCTAGCAGAGACTCCAGGATCGCTATCTTTTCCAGCAACTAAGTATGGTCATTTTGCAGTTTACATAGATTCAAAAATGTAGCTGGACAAACTGGTGGAAGAAGACTCATCTAAGACCTAATAGACAAAGACACTACGAGGTCCTCTCAGAGGTGGAGAATCATAGAATCA